CACCCCGAATCAGCAGCGGAAGACCCCGCAGGACTAGCCGATCCGAAGGTAGATGAGTCGCAGCCTACGGTTATATTCCAAATACGGTTGGGAGATGGAACGCGGTTAAGCACCCGGTTTAACACAACAAATACAATCGGTGATATATACTCGTTTGTGGCCGCTGCTAGTCCTGCCAGCCAGCAACGGCCGTGGGTGTTGATGACTACATTTCCTAGCACGGAGCTGACGGATAAAAATGCGGTCATAGGAGATCTCAAGGAGTACAAGCGTGGGGGGGTTGTGGTACAGAAATGGACGTGAGCATTTATAATTTTGATGTGATATGAATCTGAAGAATGATCCGCATTTTTGCTTGTTGGTGGGTTTAAATATCCGGTGGATGTGACGGGAATAAGCAGGGAGCGAGGTTTGATGACCATAGATAGAACGATAAAATGTAGAAACGGCTTGAGAGTTGTACAAAACAAGGCAACTTCCGTCAGAAAAACAATCGTCGAAGCTGTGATTGTGGTCATTTGATGTAAGCTATCATGTTTCCTGCTGCTGTTACTAGTGCTGTTTGTTGTTGCGAAATGACGCCACTCCAAAGCTTGATAATCCTGGACCAAAAAAAATGGAATACAATCAACGCAACACCACCACCGACAGCAATGAAAACAGTTCTAAACATTCCCAGATGACAGTCGTCCCTGCTGTTCTATATAATCGTAGGTAACGAATCATGGCACTTGACGGTGTCAAAAACATCGTGTTGGTAAAGGCCCCCACCCCTCCGCGGTGTTCCGCTCGTATCATTTCCCCCAAATCGATAAACGAAGAGCAACAACAAGAAAACAAGGCTGTGTCCCCATTACTCCCCAACCGAATTCCTCAGATAAATAACTAATATATTTCCCTTTTTTTTTTTTTTTTTTTGAAATAAAAAAACAACAGGTTTTATCCGGCAAAGGCGGCGTCGGCAAATCATCCGTAACTTTACAACTTGCTCTAGCCCTAACCCTTCAGGGCCGGTCTGTGGGCATTCTTGACGTCGACCTGACAGGGCCTTCAATGCCACGCTTAGTTGGAAAGGAAGATGCAAAAATTACACAAGGGTCCGGCGGCTGGACGCCGGTTTTAGTGCATCCTGCATTCGCAGCTTCCTCTGCCAATTCCTCCGTACCATCTCCACCTCCTCAGTCGTCCACCTCCACCGCTACGGGAACCGGCGGACCAACCGGTACAGGTACAGATAAAAGAACAGCTACTATTACTACTACTGCTGCTGCTGCTGCTGCTGCTGCTACCACGCCACAGCCTTCTGCGACACTGCCGGATACAAATACAGATCCGGATCCAGATACAGATACTCAACCCAATACCCAACCCCAGCTACAAAATGGCCAAAAACGCCCAACCGACACCGCACCCCGCGGCTCCCTCCGCTGCATGTCCCTTGGCTTCCTCCTCCGCGACCGCGGCGACGCTGTAATCTGGCGCGGCCCCAAAAAGACCGCAATGATCCGCCAATTCCTCACAGATGTCCTATGGGGCGAAACCGACTACCTACTCGTCGACACCCCGCCAGGAACCAGCGACGAGCACATTGCGCTCGCAGAGCAATTGCTCACACTTGCGACCACTACACGCCCAGGAACAGCAACAAGCCATGATGCCACATCTACCCAGCAGCAGCAACAAGAACAACAGCAGCAGCAGCAAAGGAAGAAACCCCTCCTGGCCGGCGCTGTCCTCGTCACGACCCCACAGGCCATCTCGACAGCAGACGTGCGCAAGGAACTCAATTTCTGCGCCAAGACGTGTATCCCCGTCATTGGCGTTGTTGAGAATATGTCTGGGTACTCATGTCCGTGCTGCGGGGAGGTGAGTAATGTGTTTTCTAGTGGTGGGGGCAGGGTGATGGCGGAGGAGATGGGGGTGAGGTTTTTGGGGGCTGTGCCGATTGATGTGGGGTTTGGAGAGATGGTGGAAGGGGTGAGGGGGAATAGGGAGGCGGTGGTTGATGGGAGTGAGGGTGAGGAATTTTTGGTGGAGAGGTATCAGAAGTGTTGGTCCAGGCCACTTTTTGAGGGGTTTGCGATAACAGTTATTGAAGAGGCGGAGGGACACCGGTGATGGTTTCCTCTGCTAAAGTTTTGTTGGGTGTGTATTTTCGAGCGAGTGTATGCGATCATTTATATACCTCATGAATTTTCTAGTCTTTGATCGATGGTTAGATAGAAAAAGGGAAACAGATTTGATGGAATGAAATACCATTCATGCAAGCGATAGAACTTCCAAGTTGGGTATAAATAACTTAGTTTCAATGTATGGAATGCTTTGACTATAAATTTTCGGAGATTGAGAATAAACGATGAGGAAATAGCAACGCTCAAACAAACTCATTACAAGGGAGCCGCCCAGTTATGGAAATACGAGCGAATATGGTAGCCCATAAAATCGTTAGGTATCATCAAGTCGCCCTTCAAATGTAATATGGATAGCGGATAAAGCTTGATGGAGGGTATAGTGAAAAATGAATAACTCCAGTCCGTCACGTCGATAGAAACACCAAGAGAAAATATTTGGATCATAAAAAGAGGTAACGACAATCCTAGGAAATGTCAGCCGACATAATGCCGGAAGAAACGTAATTTCCTTGACGTTGTAGAACATCGCGCAGTCTCATTTCAGCAGTCTGACAAGAAGAGTCACTATCTTGATCTAGACGGTGACCTATATTTGTGAACCAGGACAGCCATCCTTGCAGATCAGCCAGGAAGGATAATCTTTCAGCTCGGATTCGAAGAAGAGATTCGTTCACGGGGAAGTCCATTGAATAACCTTCAGTAGGCCCCGAAGTTTCCCTATGGTAGGACTCCCATGATGTATCCAAGAGATATGTTCCGTCTGCTTGGGCATCTAGGTGGACCTCAGAAACTACGGGCTGCGTCGATATGCTGCGTCGATGCTGCTGTCGCTGCTTCGTCTCTCTGCCCAGTAAAGCCCAGTCAAAACTATGTCTTGACGGTTTCGCTTCGTTTGTGTGTTTTGAGGGATGGGGCTGGGGTCGTGTTCTAGTAGATGAAGTATGGCTTGCTGATATAGCATTTTGTGGAGAAAATGTTTCCTGACCCCAGCTGGGCATGGCCCGTCCATAAGGTAGCAGGCCAGTGTCTTCAGGGGCATTGACAAATGAGTGATATGCTGAAGAGAAGGGATTACGCCCGTCGACTGTACTCGAATCGACACCGAGAATGACAACGTTTTGGTCAATTAATCTTTCGTTGCTCGAACTAGCTTCCTCGACGGGTAGCAGACCATGATCCATTGATCTGCTCGAGGCGCGAATTTCCCCCAGAGGAGGGCGATGGCTTCCATATTCGTTAGCAAGACTCAGTTTGCTTCTTCCGCATATTTCAGCGATTGCATCCAAAGTGCTTTGAATATCAGGTTCAATTGCTCTGAGAATACCGTCAATGCCGAAGTCCTGAACGGGTGGGAGCTGGGCAGGTGGTCTGTTTGCAGCGGAGGTACCTCGTGACATGGCAGATGGCTGTGTCTGAGCATCAGTTTCGGCAGAGTACGTCCTAACTACCACTGGCTGGGAAGGCAAAGATGATCTGCTACAGATAGAAGTAGTATGCCTATGGCTGCGCTGAAACTGACGCGGGAGGCCATTCAGTTGGCGCAATCCTGCAGTGCGACGTGCAAGAATGGGTTCATCAAGAGGAGAGGAGGTGGTTAGTGGAGGGTCGAACAAGCGGTTGCGCCCAGGAGAATTGGCGGACGGATGATTATGCCACAGGTTTGGGGGGAGGGACGAGCAAAGTCTCTGGGTATTGTTGTTCTTGCTGCTGCTGTCTGACCTGGCCTCCATATCGGCGGGTATTTATGGGAGGGGCAGCTCTATTATAGTAGAAAGGATGGATAGGGGCAGCCCCTGGAATATCGCAGGACTTCTCCGCCTAAACAGTAGTATTTTCAATGAAAGCATGCAACGTATGTCCTGGGGGGGTCGAACTGACGAACAGCTGGCTAGGTTTTGGCGGAAGGGGAGGGGAAGAGGGGCCTCCCAGGTTACGAGGATTCAAGCAGGCAATAAGACCTACATTGGTCTGGCAGAAGATAACAAACCGGGATCCATTCAAGCTTCTGCTTGCTTCAGACAACCCAGCGCCTGTCCACACCCACAAAGCTGGCGAGATGCAGAAGATGAGTTGTCATTGCGATTCTTAGCGGTTGGACGTTGGGGATGGACAAAAGAGGAAAGGCGGGGGAGGGGCTGACTAAGACATTGATGATTAGTAACTGAAGCTAAGGATCGGATTATTTTTATGCCGTGACTTCATCGTAATTGGCCCGAAGCCTCGATAGTCAACAGCTCTGTTGGAGATGCACCCATTCCATTCGCCTATTAATCTCTTATGATGGATCAATTTCTGTAGCTGATTTTGCTGATTGAAGTTGAGTAACTAAAAGGGTCATCGAAATAATGACTGCCGGATTTTACGTTCGTCCACTTCCCTCCACCGTTTGCCCCTCACGGATCCCAACGACTGACCTAGTGTATATCTGGTAGTTCGGCGACTCTGACGACTCTGACGCGGATACCAATGATGCCAATTACACAGACGCGAATCTCCCCTTCCCCAAACCTCTCTCGCGGGCCTCCTTCGTCTCCCCTAACTTCGACCCAGCCACCTTCCTCTCCTCCCTAACCAATCGTCACCAAACCCTCTCCGACCTGCAAACGGAATTGCGTGAGCTTAGTCAATCTCTGAACAATGAGCTTCTTGACCTCGTCAATGAGAATTATCAGGATTTCTTATCTCTGGGCAGTGCACTAACGGGCGGCGAAGAGAAGGTTGAGCAGGTTCGAGTTGGCCTGCTGGCGTTTCAAAGGGATGTGAAGGGTATACGCGATGGGTTTGAGAAGAGGATCAATGATATTTCTGCTCTGTTGGAGGAAAAGAAGGGCTTGAGGAAAGAGGTTATGCTTGCATATGACCTGCTAGACATCGAGGAGAGTATCGGAGAGTTGGAAGATAGACTTATGATCGTTGACGAACGGGACAAGCGGAAAGGAGAGATCGGTGCTGATGGAAGGGTTGACGGCGAGGGTGACGATGATGAGGAGTTGCATGGAATCATTGAAAGTGAAACAGAAGAAAGTGATGGGGGAGACGATGGCGATGGCGGGAATGTAAGTGGGAATGGCAGTGGCAGTGGCCGGGTGCCGATGGGGTCATTGTCTAGGCTGGGCCGGCACATACATAGGTACTTGTATATCAAGGCGATGTGTGGGAGGATAGGTGAGAAGCACCCTTTCATCGTCCAGCAAGACAATAGAATGGAGCGAATAAGGATGGCATTGATACTGGATTTGAAAACCGGCGTGATGCAGGCGAAGCGATCTGAGAAGAGCCGGGAACAAAAATTACAGGCTGCCATGCGCCTGTATGAGCTTATCGGAGAGAAAACGGACGATCTTGACGCAGAAACAGCTATGAAGAAGCTGGAGATTTAGGACGCTAACGCCACTTTGCCTGTAGAAGAGGCAAGTGAGGGTTTGGCATGATCAGGGAGTTTTGGGAGTTTGCGAGGTTTTATAATATTTTTATCAAGGATACCATAGGACGCCATGTATTTCAAAACAGGTAATGAAGACAACTATTTATACAATTTAATACAATTCAATGCCCCGTCAGGGCATGGACAGGCGGAGAATCCGGGCTTCTGAAGTCCCCGTTCAAACTGAAGCCGGGCGAGTTGGTTGAGCTGAGCACCTATTTCACCCATTATTAGCATCGTGTACAGGCTGATCCGGAGATTAGATATACATACCACTTCCAGTACGTCTTTCGACGACTCATCTAGTATGGACGCATCTTTTTTCAATTGCGAGATAAACGTGACAATATTCTGCTTCAGTTGATCAGGAGAGAAGCCCAACTGCCCAATTGCCACTCTAACAACACCCATTCTTTCCCGGTATGAGGTCCCACCGCGCATGTTCTTCACGGTTTTCGCAATGTTATCCACCACAGTGCCCAGCTTGGCGCTGGGCATCAAGCCCTTGGGACCGAGGATTCGCCCTAGCCCAGCTTTGTTCATAGCCGCCAGACTCGACGTGTGGCAGATGCACAGGTCGAAATTGATGTTATCCTTCTTGATTTGTTCAAAAACTTCCTCCTCCCCAATTACTTCCGCACCTACTGAAGCAGCTTCCTTTGCGGCCTTCGAGTCTGGAGGGCAGATCACGCATACGCGGGCGAGTGGTTGGACGGAGTGAGGAAGGCGGACCTGGTTGCGGATGACCGCACCGCCACGGGTCGAGCGTAATCGGACGTGAATTTCGTATTTGACAGACGTAAGCGGTCTTCCTACTTCAAATGCTCGGATCCATCTAGAGATGCAAAAAAGCAATTGCGGATTGAATATTTAGCATGGTTGTCCGTTCAACTGTCCTTCTTACGAAGTCGGTCAATTGGGATCTGTGGAATAAACATACCTCATCGCATCGCAAAGAGTAAATTGAATCGCCTCTTTCATATTATGTTGCATGTAGGTCTTGTACTTCTTCTTGGCCTTGGTGGTGTTCTTTTTCGACTTCGCTCTGGTTTGGGCATTCCTTGCCTGTTGCTGTATAGGACATAGGAAGGGCAGGACGGCCGCTGAGCTGGGTCGAATGAAAGGTCGGAACGCAGATACGGCGCCTCTCGTCAGAGACGACATGTATCTGCTGGGAGAAGCCATTGTACCCGGAGTAGAGAAGGTGGCTCTTTGACTGCATTCGGTCTTGTTGCGGAGGTCGAACGCGGAAGTTTGAAAGTCCTAGCCGGGAGAAAGTTATTCCACCTTCTTGAGCACTTAACTAAGAACACCACTGAATGCCACCATACTGTGAAGTTAACCCAATACAGAAGACCACAGCAAAAGGATCGCTCTATTGTTGTGCTGCACTCTGTTATGCAAGCAGCTTATTTGTGTTTCTCAAGTGCGAATATTTGCACCTTCGAAGGATGTCTACGCATCATACACCAGTAGCTGCCGCATTGTTCATCTCCCCACCTGAGATAATTTGAAGTCTTGCCTGGCGCAACCGGCCCAAGGCGATTGATGAAGCCAGAGTACTAGTACTGTGGGCAATCGATATTGGCCCGTGAGATCTCTCTCGTCAAACGAGCAAAAACTTGGATGAATAAGGTCGCCAGGACTTTTATCACAGAACCAAGTAGAGCACTGAAGCTACTGTATTAGGCCATAAATATTGGCAAACCACACTACTCTGTACTTTTCTGCCCTGTATTTTTATTAACTTTGACTCAACTTTTGAGAGGAGAAACTGCCTGGCGTGCCGAGAGCAATGTTTATTGGCTGCAATCCTGCTTGCCTGCAGGTTTGTTTTCTGGGCTGGAGGCCTCGTTTGTGGGGTTGAAGCAACGATTCAAGGTCAAAAGCATCAACGCAGTATACGCTGTATTACTTGTTATTCTTCGGCTCCATTCGAATACGCGTTCAAAGCTTGTCAATTGTCAACGAAGGATCCCTTTACTTGACGCTCCGCAGTCTCGCTCCATTCATCGGGTGGGGGAATGTGCAGTACCTACTAGCTTTGTTGATCGAAGATGCAAAGATGGCATCAATATCAACCGCAATAGTCCTGATCTTAGGATGTTTGGTATGCACTTAACATACGTTCATCGTCCCAAAGTCGAATTAACGTGGTTAATATCAAGTGGCTCTTTAGGCTGGCCTTGTAGCAATAATTCTTAGCGCGTATGGATTTTCTTCAGCTGCTTCCCTCCATAGTTCTCCAGCACCTTTGACTAACAACACCGTGGTAGATACTCATGGTTCCGTACCTCCAAGTACTACCTTCCGCTACCTATTGCGCTTTCAGGAGTGACAACGTTTTTCCCAATTGCCGCTGTCATTCTCATCCCGTTGGCTACCAATCTGGCCGCTGGCACTCGCAGCCGGCGATCAGACACTACATCACTGGGGTCCATTAAAGTCAGCAGATTTACGATCATTCTGGAGCAGCTACTTACAATAATCCCAACCGCCCTGGCAGCTTTTGCTATCTCCTACTTTGCTCCAGAAGATATCCTTGGATGTCGTCTTGAAAACCAATGGCAGTCATTCTACTCCCATAAAAACGCCATTGCTATCCGCTCCATCCAGGATCGTCTCCAGTGCTGTGGTTTTAGAAGTACACGCGATCGGGGATGGCCATTCCCAAGCGCTTCTGATCAGCGTGATTGCACTAGCGCTTTTGGATATACGCAGAGTTGCTTTGCTGGATGGCGGAGTGCACAAAGACAAGCCGCTACTATGGTTTTTACGGCAGCAATCTTGAGCCTGGTGATGAAAGTCGGTGGTTGAGCGATTCGTTTCCCATAACCAGACTCAATTCTATCTCATTTGCTTATCAGTGGCTGATTTTTGAATAGTTCATCCTATCCTCCCGTCAATACGGTCTATCCACCCGCTATCCCCACCTATCTTATTACATGGCAAATGGAGATACAGAGAATACACATGGCACACATGCCAATGGTTTTCAGCGCAGGCTTATCACGGACGTCAGCTACCATGACGAACCTGGTGAAGATGAGCGCCATAGGGTGTCCTTACCACCTGACTCACCTTCCCTAAATGAAAACCCCTTTGGCGATACTAATGGCCACGGGGACGCCGAAAACAGCTTGAGTGACAATTACCACACCGAAGCTTCAGGTGCTTTATATATTTCGAACTTGAGGCCATGAACAAAATTGAGCTTTGTTTTGACTTTTAATAGCACTTCACCTTTTCTTCTATTTCTGTTATGGGGCAGTTTATCTGCTCTGTCGTTTCCCTATTTCCACACTTTCACTCTTCCTATAATCATTTTCTAACCGTTTTTTGATTGCTTCCATTTCTCTTGCATTTTCCATTCACTTCCCGTGTTTGTTTTTTCGACATCCTTGGAAAGCGATCCTGGAAAATATGATGGCGAGATTTCCCAGTCGGAGGTTCTCTTTCGAATCCGTCGTGGCCAATGTTGGCCATTTAGGATTTCTGTAAATGGCAGTGAAATGAACAAGAAGTTAGGAGGAATTATAGGCTGGAAACTGCAGCCTCATTATGGAGTTTATGCAAGAATCAATCGACAAAAAAAAAAAAAAAAAAAAAAAAAAAACCATACACGCCAAGAGAAGCAGTTCCAGGGAAAATGCAGTGACTCATGCAGGATTCAACCCATGGGAATAAAAGACCTCGCCTACCTATTTAAAAATCCCAACGACTTTCTCAATAGCATCTTTATTTCCAATATTCTTGGGGACGACATCTGCGACTTTGAGAATATTGATAACCCCATCAACCACAGAATTATCAACCCCTCTTGTCCCACCCTTCACAAACCGTACATCCTTAAGCCACTCCCTAGCATCAGCGTCATTATATTTGCAACCTAAATCCCCCGTACCCAACAACCTGACCACGTGCTCTCTGTCGGCCTCAAAGGCAGCAATACCACTGTCCAATGTCTCGAAAAGTTGTGAGAGTCGCACATCCTGTGCTGGAGAAGGAAACGTGGAGGTTGAAGCAGCAATGTGCCATGAAGGCCAGGGCGTGAATATTTCTCCAATCTTCTTCAGTTGTGGGCTCGGGAATGATTCTGATGGGTGAAAGAATGGCTTCGTAGTGAACTCTTCCCACATGAAGAAATCGGCAGACGGCACTGAAGGGGAGGTACTTTGGGATGCGGGGCTGAGGCCGGTAACTCCATCCCGAAGTGAAGGAAAAGGCCCTAGGATAACAGGGGTAAGTGGAGAGGAAACCGACGGCCAGCTCTGCCGTTGAGATAGAACGAATGACATGATGTGAGAGCCGCTGCGAAGGGGTACTTTGTCAGCATTCCGTGGCACTGGGCCTTGGCTGAGATTTGTAAAATAATAAGTCGATAACTTCCGTACTTACCTCCCTAATCGGCTCACTCCCACTCGGGACCCTTTCAAGTCGTTCACACTGTTAATATCGTTTCGATTTCTGCCTGTCACGATGGCCCATCTCAGTGGTGTTTCCACCCATTGCCCTACCATTTTATAACCTCCATCTACGTCACCCCTTTCCAATTGCGTCTTGCCTACCAGCCCAGCTACCCAGCCCTCAGTCAGCCCGATACCGATGTCAATTTCATTTTCGCGGAGGGAGGTTATCATATGTCCCGTCCCAGACGGAAACGGCTTGATAGTCACTTTGAATGGAAGAGAGGATATAGCCGACTTGAGAGCAAGGTGGAGGGGGGTCAAGTAGTGCTCTGCGTCTCATTGGGCTAATGTTAGAACTGGCTGGATTATTATTTGAAGCAGCTTCCAAAAATCCAAATGGGCAAATGGTGCTTACCTGGCACATAGCCAATCCTTAGAGTCGCCTCCGGTGAAGCCATGATATCCAATGTAGGGCACCTTTGTGTTAGTCGGCCTGTGTTGCGAAGTCGTGACTTGAGAACTAAGCTGCGGGACAATTGGGCGGGGGCCGGCCCAGAAGGTTCAAACTAGCCTTAACCCTAATTATTTTACTCCGTACAGATTACTTTGGGATGAGTTTAATGTGTGCATTATCATTTATTTGCCTATTTACTCCGGTTAGTTTTTAATCTGTCAGATACAACAGACACTCTCTACACACGCTTTCTTGACATCTATTTTGTTAGGTCAATTGCCAAAAATACTAAAGTTATCACATCACCGAGGCTTGGGTGCTCTTAAAACTGCTCAACAATATCCACCAAAATGACGCTGACGACGTTAGCCAGCAATCCGAGATAGCAATTGCTGGACAAGTCAACGTAGTCTTAGTACAAAATACAATAAAAAAAAGAGGGCTAAAAAAAATCAAACTGTCTCCGGATCCATCCTTCTGATCTGAATTTCTCTTCTCTCCCATAGTTCCCCTCACCTCAATGTTGTGAGAGTTGATTGAATTACAGGGGTAGCCACGTCGCTGCAAAACGCTCACTATTTGGTTTCATCCTTTGGAGGACGTAGCATGTGTGAGTCTTTACAGGATATGTTGCCCTTTTGCCGCTGCCAATAACGCGACCCAATCCACTGAATATGTGCTAGGCAACAAGTGTCAGATACGCTGTAACCAACTTGAAGTGGAAGCAAACACCAGCTTGTGAGCATCTAAGATTGAGTCTCAAGGAAATTACTGCAATGGAGTGCTGACATGCGTAAAATCAGCGAAAATTAATTAATCCCATTTCTGAGGACTTTACGTGATTCCATGAGAGGCGGGCCTGGCGATTATCATGAAAAGACCGGGACTCTGAGCAAGTATCATGCTGCCTACAGGATCCAATTTACACGGATCCTGGAGAGGCTATACTAGGTAAGTTCGGCATGATCGTTTGTAGAATGACTTGAGAGGGGTTTTATAGGCGGAGAAGTGGACGGTTGAGGTTTCGTTTCGCCTGATATCCCCGTTAAACGAACTGTGTTGGAGATTGTCAACCTGCCATGATTTATGCGGGGGAACACGATTAAGAGTGAAGAAAACCGCGGCAAAATAATCGCGGAGATTTTCTCTCTCACACACAATTACATACATAAGTTCTTAGAGCTGGTTGGTTAGTTAACTATTTATGCTGACAATTTCCAGGGACACACTACATACCCGGATTCCCCCACTTTGGAAGATCAATTACTATGTACGGAGTACGGATATTACGATGAAAATTGCATTTCAAGATTATGAGAATGTCTCCGGATGTCTTTTTTATACTAGGCAGGCTGCTAATGATCTCAACACCGACATGGCCATAGTATTGCTTTTGGCGCAACTTATCTTTATGAAAAAGGGCGATTTTTGATGTCATATAACCAAGAAAAGAAATGGTAATTAAATTAGATATTAGTCTAAAATTGATTAACATTATGTAAAATGGAATGGATGGATAAATATGGGAAATGAACATCAGGTCTAGCAATACGTATCAATCATGCCACCATATCAACCAGTCAGCCAAAATATATAATGATATGCACAAGTCAGTTCCTTGTAACTTGCCCATTTATGATAATCGTACATCCGTAGCTTTCATATCCCACCTATCATTTCCATGTTCAAAACCGTTCGCGGAGGCAACCCTCTCCACATCGTGTTTCACCGGAACACCATGCCCAAACATCCAATATTGCACTCCAAGATAGCAGTCACAGCAACATTGCAAAATCCCACAGAGCTTGAAAGCCCATGGAACGGAATCGCCGGTGAAGAAAAAATATCCCATCTTCATCGCGTCTCCGAGAATCCATGACCCGAGCACAGACAGCCGGAAACCCTTGCAAGATTGTGCGCGCTGGTTGGATATTATCTGTGGTACGGGAAGGAAAGCTTCAACACCGAGGCCGGCAAAGCCCAAGAGCGCAACATAGTGCTCCGAGCGCGAGATGGGCTGGAAAACGACATGGATGACCAATAAAGACACGACGAAGTAGGAGAGAAATGTCCAGTATCTGTATATTACCGGGCCACATAGGTTAGCAATTAAAACCAAACCAAAGAGGACGACCATCAACGGTTCAAGAATCGAGGTTGAGAGCACTTGGAAAGAGCATAGAGGTAAGGGAGACTGACGGTCGGTTGGCTCGCCACTGCCAGAAGTTATACGGTCTCGACAAGTTCATGCCAATGACTCCTGCTTTTTGGCCGCTGAATGGCGCATGTTCAATCCCGTCTCTTATTCCGGCTGATGCTCGATTATCTAAGGCCACTTTTAACAAAACCAGCTGTACGCCAATCATGATGATTGCTTGGAAGAGTAACGCATTCGAGTAGCGGGCGCCAAACCAATAGAACACCCTGAGGTAATGTAAATTACAGTTTGTTAGATACGAAAAAAATGAATACGGAGATTCCGATGTGGCTGGTTGGAGCATTTTGGGTAGGTCCAAGGGAAAGGAAGGAGTTAAAAAGAGAAGGCGAACGCACTTTAAAATCGAGGCTACGAGCATTATCAGGGGGATATCCAGCGAAAATCCAGCAGAGCTTTTCGTCTTATGTATGCTGTATATTTGATCTGAATATGACGTTAAGGGTGAGAGTACGAGGCTGCGGAATCACCTTGTGTCAGAATCTGCATCTGCCGAAAAACATTGAAGTGCTTGATAACGTGCATACAACACTGGTGCCCCATAGTTGAGAATGAGCGATGTGAGCCACATTGTCATTTCTGTTGTTTAACCTCTGCCGCCACTGAAAATCCTCGCGCTTGTCGTTTGAAATTGTAGTAGTTCTTTCAAACACCGTCGCCTGTCGTGGTGCAATGCGACTCAATGGGTGCAGGTTTCACGAAAAAGCTCTCATTTCCTTGCGGATACAATGCGGCCGAAGGATAGAGGTGCTATCCAGGAAATTGGGGGGAGTCCTCTAATGGATGGAGCGTGATATACAACCCCACGAGCTTGCTGTGGAGCGAATGTAATAGGCTCTAAAACTGCTGATGCTGCTGGTGATGCAAGGATAAAATGTTTCGGGAGTGCCGACCAGATCCGCTTGCCGTGAGTGCGTCTGGTCTCTGCGTATTCGGGTCACGTAGACAGCGTTATAAAGGAGGTTGACTGCAGTGACAGTCAGTTCCAGGAGAGTGGATTGGTTGAATTTACCGACTCGATATGGCCATGATTGCAGTGTCCAGGCAGTTCTTATCCCTCAAAGATGTTAAGTTGTTGGAACCGTAGAAACCTCAGAGCCGGATATGCAGTATTACGTAACCTTGCACATCCCTGCCAAGCATTCCTCTGACTTTCTCAACATCATCCGCAGGAACCATAATCGGTTTCTGACATCCATAGGTTCTAATTGTGGTGTTATCCCGCGTGTTTTGGGATTCATCCATATGAGGTTTCTTAGCTACACATTGATACTTCCAGACAGTATCCCTTGCTTCCGTGACAAAAGTATTTCCTGAACTAACGATAACATCTACTTTATGAATCCAGCTGGTATCACAGCAGCTGCTTGAACCCCTTCCCAGAATAAATGTCTCTTTATTTAGCACCGGCCAGAGAGGCTTCACTTCGCTGAGGATGGTTTCTGCAGTAATGAAAGTTTTGACATAAAATATATAACAACGTAAATTATATATATATCCTCTTTGTAGTATGTCACAGTACTGGTACAGGACGGATATCGACTCTATGCCATGCAATTACAACCACGAACCGACAAATTGAATGAGATATCACCCCAACGACACACCGCGGGGGGGGGAACAGAAGTTGGTTCTTACTAAATAAAATTGCCCCTCCATGTGAAAACCTGACGTGCAGACATGAAGAGCAACCAAGCAAAGTTAGCTCAAGGTCTGCGAATCGGTGGGTTGCCTCATTGATCATTGTGCTGTGTGAGATTATCCTTTAAGTCAATTCCACATGCTGTGACTCTTCGAATCTCAGCGACATGAAGCATAACATGAGATGCGGCTGGCATGTCAATCATAAATAATCCACAGTGTTTTAATTTGCTCAGTTTCGTAGGGAAGAACGCTGGGGTGGATACAATTGGTGACACGGAGAGGGGAAATAGTGGAAATATATTAATATAAAGAATAGAAACGGGTGTTAAGAAGATAAAAAGTAAGAATAAAAATCTATGCAAATATCGCCATTACGATGAAATAAAACGGAGAGCCGACCAGGATCGACAGTATGATTAGAACTGTACGGCACGAAATTTTATCATGATACATGAGAACCTAGGTGGAATAAATAGCTTAAGAGAAATCAATCCTCCACAAGTTTCCAATACACACGCCTGGGTTTTTAACCACAGCATGGGCGGCCTTGCCCTCCTGCTTTGCATGCCACTGCAAGTTTGCCTGGGATCCCGTCTTTGACCCTTCCTCAAAAACGAGAACATTTGGCTTGCTCGCCCATGCATCTGGAGCACCCACAATGATGATTTTCTCTACACGCACACCTGCCATGGCCTTCAGATACTGCGCAGTTTTGGTGCCCTGGGTTCCGATGTCCGTTGATGACAACGATGACTCGGAGAAGGTGAAGCGCCGGTGGATGGAAGCGCCATCTTGGTAGTCGAATGTCTCACCGTCATCAATGTACAGAGTTCCCTCCGCCTGCTCGTTTTTGTCCAAGACGACGAGAAGCGTGTAAGGGTCCCATTTCATGAGTTGACTACTTCTACGGGGTCGATCTTTGCGGGGGATGATATGGCCGCCTTGCATCAAGAGAGGAATCTTATCCAGTGGCGCTTCAACAACGTGTCTCTTCCCGGCACCCTGGTAGACTGTATAGTCGAAATAATCGTAGTATTTTTCATCATCGGCAAGAAAAATATCTGTGCTGGTAGCGCCCTCCGTCACAATTGGCTTAGCAAGCAATCCGGTGGATCCCAAATACAATTGGTCGTCGATCGCAAAGCCAGCCTCATCTTCAGGGTGAACATAATATTGAGGTTGGACAATTGGGGTGCCGTCAATGGAAGCCTGGTGGAAAGCAGTGTACCACGCAGGCAAGAGCTGGTATCTCAGGTGTATGGCTTGGGTGATGATGCTCATGTATGGCTCTCCAGCCAAATATGGTTCACGTCTACGGGTGTCGATGTGTGCATGGGCACGGAAGAACGGATAGAAGATTCCGGTTTGGTACCATCTTGTTAGTAACTCTTTGTCTGGGTTTCCAAAGAAGCCACCAACATCGGCTCCAGCGAATGGGAATCCGGCAATGCCGTTGTTGAGGACCATGGGAAGGGACGCAGCAAGGTGATCCCAGCTTGCCTGATTATCGCCGGTCCACATGGCTCCCAACCGCTGTGACCCTGCATAAAAGGACCGTGTCAGGACAAATGGTCTGCGCAGCTCGCCCTTCTTGCGTTCCAACAAGGCATTGTAAGTAGCGTTGATGAACGTCATGCCATTGAGGTTGTGCAAGTCACGATGCTCCCAACCCCCATAGTGAATATTGTCTTTGGGCATCGTCGTCTCTGGGCCATTAAAAACGGACGGCTCGTTCATATCGTTCCAAAGGAACACGTTAGAACTGGTTCCCTTGAATTTGTCATATTTAAAGAGCGTAGTCCACCACGATATAGCAGCTGGATTAAAGCAATCAATCCAGTGGGATGATCCAGGCCAACACCAGCCATCATATATGTTCCCATCCTTGTCATTCACAGCTAATCCTTTCGATTTCAGCTCGTCTACAATAGGGTAATTCGCATCGTTTTTGATGTGAGGGTCGATGATTATAACAAGTTTGCGACCTGAATCATCAAGCTGCTTTTGCATTCCACTCGGGTCCGTGAATGTCAGCGGATCCCACGTAAAGTACTTTTTCTGGTCAGTGTACTCAATGTCAAGCCAGATGACATCGTAGGGAATTTGATAAAGGTCGAATTTTCTATCGACATCTCTGACATCCTCATCGGTAACGTAGTTCCAGCGGCACTGGTGGTATCCAATCGCAAAATGCTGGGGCAGTTGGGTGAAACCGGTAAGTTCGCCATACAACTTGCTAACTGCTTGGGGAGTTGGTCCTAAAAATACAAAAATATCGAGCTGTCCGGCTTCCGAAAACCAATGCGTTTGTGTGTTGGTTTTTCCAATGACTCCTAGAGCGAGAGGGTTGGTTGAATCCTTGGTCTTGACTATGTCGACCCATGTCTCCGCAGCATTCAACCATAACACACCCACTGTGGATCCTTTACGGTGTGCCTGCATAAATGGAATGGAACCATAAAGCGTCATTGGGCTATTCAACTCATATTCGAACACATCGCTGTTGTACAAACGGTAAGGTTCGGTGTGCTGCCCGTCCCCGCCCCTTGATTTTACAATTAGTAGGGCGCTAGATTGAATTTATTAAAAGAACACTTACCTGGTTTCTTTCAGGGAGAGAGAGTCGGCATGCTCTGGGATACCAAACACATGGCTGTATCCAGAAAAGGTGATATCCAAGCCAACACTTTCTGGGCCTCTCGGTTTCGAATCGACATTACCACCAAACGATTCCTCCCACCAGGTGGCTTCATCCACAGTAGTTTGTGATTCTGGCTCATTGTCGTCCCCTTTCGGTTTCTCAACCTTTGGCCTCCAATGTTCCACGTTCAGAAGCCCCTTGTCATTGAATTTGATATGTGTTTCGCCATCCCTTTGGAAGTGTACTTCAAATGGGGAGTGCCGAATGATAGCATGGAACTTCTTGTCTGGGCCATAAGCGACTTTTGTAATTCCTGCCTCCGTTCCCTCAACAATTTCGGCGGAGGAGCTCAACTCCAAACCACCTACAATGGCCCATTTTGCAGCCTCATTATAACGTTCTTTCCTTATTTTCCTGTCGTGCCGTAGTTGTATTTTCCCTTTTATCCGTTTCTCTTCATCTACTGTGACACGAGCCACTCCTGACGTAAGAAACGATACAGTGAGAGGCAGTTTAACCTTCTCGTTGTTCTCAGCAGTCTTAACGATGGTTCCCAACAACTGACCTCCCGCAAATTTAATAGAGTTCGATTCAAGGCGATACGGGGCAGACCATGACGAGTCTTGATTCGAAACAGTATCTGCATAAGCTCTATTCCGCGCACAGAAACCGGATTGTGAACATGTCTTGAAGTTCCCATGCTTGACCATCTCTGGATTTTAGAGATAAGGTATTGTTAGAAACCAAGCCTGATTAATTTTGTGACACAATATTCACGTACCTCCAGGAACAACCAGGCATGAGAGAATAGTTAAGATGGCCAGGAACAGGGTCCAACCCGTGGACAAAAGCCTGAACGCCGCCATGAGGAATAGATGCTTGTTCTTAAAAACAGTGAAACCAGGCCACCAAGAGGTTTAAAACGCAAAGAACTGGGGAAGGTTCATGGATAATTAGTTTCTCCTCCACAACAAAACAACATACAGTTACCCCGGTATCAAATTATGGACTGCCAGGAGCGCTCTATGATCCCAATTGCAAGCCGCTGCTGTTGTTGTCACAGGCTAGTCGCGAGATGCCGAAGCCAATGGTGCCTACTCGTCTCGAGATGCCTGTTTGGCACGCGTCGGCTAAACTTGCTATGGTTTGACCCCCGCCGTAAACCATCAAAAATAATTTGCCCCGCCGACAACAAGAAATTCATTTCTCACCCCTCACTCGGCCAGCCATTGAACAGAAATATATCTCTATATCTAGTTTTTTGATACTTCTACTCTGTCAGAATGTCTGCCTCCGAACAAACGTGCGTTATCCTTCTCTGGCATATTTCCTTGTTTTCCCATTGGCTAACAAACCTTCGTACCCTTTCCAGTTTCATTGCAATCAAGCCCGATGGTGTCCAGGTATGAGCGGCAAAGAAAGCAACATTTATACATACTCTTATATCGCGAGAACCAGTCCTATCGCTCGGGGCTAACATTCCCTTTTCTAGCGCGGACTCGTCGGTCCCATCATTAGTCGTTTCGAGAGCCGGGGGTGAGTGTCGGAGATTGCTGTTGTGAAGCAAACCAAGCCCAAACGATTCTGACGGCCATAGGTACAAACTTGCTGCCATCAAGCTCGTCACCCCTTCGAAGGAACACCTCGAGAAGCACTATGAGGATCTTTCCAGCAAACCTTTCTTCAAAGGCCTTGTTACCTGTTCGTAGCCCCGTTATTCCTACGAAGGTACAATTCATGTTGGATGCTGATGCACCTTAGATATGCTGAGCGGACCTATCTGTGCCATGGTCTGGGAGGGCCGTGATGCCGTCAAGACAGGTCGTGGTATGTATAATACTTCATCACTTGTCTGACAGACCCCGATCTAATTTTCTCCATCAAATAACAGCCATCCTTGGTGCCACTAACCCCCTCGCCTCTGCCCCCGGCACCATCCGCGGTGACTTTGCCATTGTAAGTGACCAGGAGTCTTTGCCATCCTGGGCCTCGATTACGGCTCTAACCAATTTACATAGGACGTCGGTCGCAACGTCTGCCACGGCTCTGACAGTGTCGAGAACGCAAAGAAGGAAATCGCACTGTGGTTCAAACCTGAGGAACTCGTTCAGTATCAGCAAAGCCAGGCCAACTGGGTCTATGAGTAGAGCTATCACTTAGCGCACCACGCCCTATTATGACATAAGTTAATGACAATAAGGAAAAGTAATTCGGAAGAATATCGAGATCTGAAGAAAAAAGAAAAAAATTTTACTGTTTGTTGATATTTCACAACACGAGCATCCCTCGTACATATCCATTCACATATGTATATACATGTCACGTCACAGCCATAATCAAGTCCATTAATAGAAAATAGAATATAGGTCTAAGTCTTTCTACCAAACACCTTCCTGACTCCCCTCCCCAGAGGCCCAAGCACAGCCCTCGCAAACCACGGTGTAGCCCAGACGCTAAGCACAATCCTCACAGGCATCATCGCCTTCGTTATTGCGTATGCGGTCGCAAACTCCAGTATCAGCCGCACCCCTTTATCCGCATCTATATTTCCAGCCAAACTACTCTTTGTCCCCATACCCATCCCCCCCGCCACCATTGCCTCCGCCCGCACTTCCGCCTCGCCGGCAACCCATCCTTTCGTTCTCAACCACCTCCCGAACCTTTTCACCCCCTCATCCGCCGCCCCATTTCTCAGCGCCGGAATCCAGCCACAGTAATGGAATGCACCCGTCAGTCCTATAAGCGGTACTACGGCGGTAATTTCGTGTAAGATTAGGAATGAGGTAATGTGTGTTACGGGGGCACTGAGGAGCGGGGTGGTGTAGGATTTGAGGAAGCGGGGGAGGCGGTTGTTGAAGTTATGGAGCCTGGTGCGGAGGCGGGAGGAGTTGGGGTTGGGTGGTGGAGGAGATACTGGAGGAGTGGAGAATGACTGGCGAAGAGGAAATTTGTGGAGGGAGCTTGGACGGATGGATGGACGAAGGGGTTTAGTTGATAGTGGTTGATGGTGGAGATACATTTCTTTGTTTTATTATTTCGATTTGTTTTATCAACGATCACTCATATTCCACCTTACCAGAGAAGGTTTTCTCAGATGTCAGGTGGCTCATTAAAAGTGGGTGTGTTCGGGTATAGAGTAGCATAAAAGCTCCATGCTAAAATGAATTACTGGGGAGCTATGGTGTTTATGGTGCTTTGCGATAGTTAAATGACGGAATTGCGGTTTGATATTCGGACAAAAATACAATGTTTGTTCGGTTTGCATCATGCCTGCGAATCATGTGATTATTGGGTATCCCCTCTTCATACATTCTCCTCCTCTCCAATCGCACTTAAAAATCCATTCAATTGCAACTTAACAAAGTTATATATCTTTCAATTGAACTTCGCCAACTGAATCTGGGGAAATTTTCAGGCTAAAAGTTCGCAGAGTGTGAACTCCTCTCCTCTATTACAAGACTACTGGTACTCCCAGCTGTCTAATCCCATGTATCAAATAGGAATCGATTTCTTTTCGATATCATTTACATAATCGACGATGTTTTGGAAATACTCTCTGGACTCCTTGTCGAGTGCCTTGAGGAAAAAGTAAAATGCGTGTGGAAGACCTGCAAATACTTTTTCAGTTACTGGGACGCCGGCGGCCCTGAGGGCCTCACCATACGCAAAACCCTCATCGCGGAGTGGGTCAAACCCGGCAATCTGGATGACTATCACATTTATTAGTTGAGTATGCTTCGCATTCGTGGTTTTTGGGTGAACAGGGATGTTTTTCTGCTTGAATCTTCTGCTTACGAGCTGGGGGGAGGTTTGCATGGCTTTCAGCTAGTATTGGATTGGCATAGACCTCTGGTTTCCCTTTTGGGAGATATAAATTCCAGTGGAACAAAGCCCTCGAGGACGAAGTGGCGGCATCTTCGTTATTCTCGTCCCAGCTGTTATATTCATATTTATCCCGAGGAAAGAAGTCGGGGTGACAGATCATTGGCATATTGAGGACTTGACCAGATACTCCGGTAATCCCTTCATCTCGAAGTTTCAATGCAAGGGATGCGGCCTTTCAAGTTGTTACCATTTTGATTTAGCATTGAGTTGGACAATACTTACAAGGTTTGCGCCACTGGTGGAGCCTGCCAAATAAATCCTTTCAGGGTTAATGCCAAGGTTGACAGCATTCGATTTACACTATCCAAACGATTGTGAGCTGGCATGTTCCGTCAGAGGGCACGCAATTCAAAAGCTTTTACATACCCAAATTAGCGCGTCAAAGCAGTCATTCAAAGGATAGGGGAATGGGAATTCCGGGCACTTTCGGTACTCCACACTCACGACAACCAACTTGTTGTCCCTGGCCACCTGCCTATTCTGCGCTTCTTCAGCGTCATGTGTGAATATTGTCCATCCTATAGATTACTGTCAACTAATGGTTTCCACCTCTACTGATATAAGTAAAACAGCAATCCCATGCGACTTACCTCCCCCATGTGCGACAAAGAATAAGGATGCTCGTGGGGTTGGATTTATCGGCTTATAGATCCTGAGTTCCACCGTGGCACCATCCCTCACTGGGATATTCATATGCTCAATCGTTATATCCTTGCCCACAACGGGGCCATCGTCGAAAACCGCAGGTGGGAATGCATCCCATGCAGCCTTGAATTTTTCCATATCCTCGATGGCATATAAATTCCCAACGAGCTTGGAAGCCTCATCTTTTAACGATTCGAAAACCGGGTGAGGTGTGGCAAAGTGTGCGTACTTGGACTTGGCGTTTGAGTTGTCCATTGTCATGTTGCGGGGAAAGGTCTGTGACGGGGGGTTTGGAACCTGTTTCGTCGAAAGCTGTTAAGGGTTGCTTTGAGAAGACATTCTCCTTTTTATCAGCTGGACGCACCAAGGTGATAATAGAGCGGCGAGATACGATAATGTGCCTCGCTTGGTGTATCAATCTGGACCAAAATCAAAGCAGCTCGTGCCAATCAGAATCCGCATATGTTCCTTTCAATCAGCGGACGCAGGGACTCAGATAGACAATACAGATGGGTGATCAGGAAATCCCAGCGGCACCTTACATCGAGTAAACATGTAAGTAGTTGGAAGCGTTCCTTGAAACAAATCTCCTATCAGATGGATACGCCTCCAAATATGAATAATTTCGTCTCTCATGATACCAGCCTGGACTACGGACAACTTTCACCTATCACGAACTCCCCACCACGCTTTGTGATGAATACGTCATCTACTCTTGCCTAAGCTGCAGGGTAGAACAAAGAAACAAGAAAGCAAAACCGACGGTGATCTTGTTCGTTCAGTTAATGTGCGGTGTGAAATGGCTGCCATCATTGATTTTGATTGGCCACAATGTATCCAAGGTCTTTGTGCTGTTCCATACGAACCAGATTTGACTCGGTTTCCATTTTTCATCCAACTCCATATTTCTACTAACTTTATCAATGTGCCACGCCGCATTTCCTCTGATGGATAGGTTTAGGATCGTAATCTTCTGGTCGCTGAATGGCTGGAAATCAATCATCAAAGCAAGTTTATTTGTTCCACATGGTCTTCTAGCGATTGAGCCCTGTATGTAGCCCTGTATGTAGCTTGAGGAGCTTTATGCACTCAGCATATGGTTGAGGGTTTACATTCGCATCATAATCCGAAAATGAAATTGATATGAAATTGAACAGTCGGATTTTATTATCGTTTCAACTCGCCACCTTGAGTTATAGAGGGGGCGTCTCATGAACTAGCCAGCAAATCCTATACGGAAGAATCTAGAAAGAAAGTGGAGTTGTTCTGATCCCGTATTGACGGATAGATACTAGCAGTGATCTCAGGTAGTGGAGATAGTAGCTCTTTTGCTCAGTATGGTTTCGAATTGTGCATCTGCAGAATTTATACAGCATAATGCGATCATTTGGCTTGAAGCGAACATACTTCCCACACTGGCTGGAAGTGGTGATGCTTTGGACTTGCTTTGTCTGAGCAGCCGCTAATAGGGAACCAAGCGGGGCTGTTACTCAATATCGTCACAAAAGGCAACTCGCGGTTCTTCGCCATAAGCTTCACTAGAGCGCAAAACACCACCACCATCATAACAACAGCAATCATGGAGAAAATATCAGATAAAATAGCGAATCTCCCCCCAGATGCGAACTATTTCTCTCTGGAGTTTTTCCCTCCAAAAACCCAGATGGTGCGTTCCCGTCGAAACTGAAATTTACCCCACCACTCCCGCTTATATCCCACGTTGTTTCACCAGACTGATCAATCCGTGTTTACAGGGCTCCTCAAATCTCCAAGCCCGTCTGGAGCGCATGTCGCAAGCTCTGCGACCGCTTTTCGTAACCGTTACTTGGGGTGCTGGTGGAAGCACTGCGGCTAAATCCCTCGAGCTCGCCGAGATATGTCAACGTCAATTAGGTTTGACCACTTGCTTGCATTTGACATGTACAAATATGAACAGGACACTGGTAGACCATGCGCTCTCAGAAGCCAAAGCATTGGGCATCAGGAACATCCTTGCGTTGCGTGGTGATCCCCCGCGAAGCGAAGAGTACAATATTGATGGCGAAGATGACAGCAATAAGGATTTTACGTGGGCAGTTGATTTGGTGAAGTACATCCGCCGCACACATGGTGATTACTTTTGCATAGGGGTGGCAGCATATCCAGAAGGTCATTCAGACGAGTCATACCCTGAAGTGCAAGACCCTGTCAAAGACCTCCCATACCTTATCGAAAAAACAAGGGCCGGAGCGGACTTTATCATGACTCAACTTACTTACGACCTAGGAGCATACAAACGGTTTGAGGAAATGCTGCGCAACCACGAATCTGGCGTTTTCGAAACTATTCCTATCATTACCGGATTAATGCCCATACAGAGCTATCATATTCTAACTAGGACGACGAAACTAAGCCATGCAAGAGTCCCTCCTGATATAATGGCGCGAGTGGAAGCAGTGAAGTCAGACGATGAAGAGGTGAAGCGAATCGGGGTGGATATTTTGTGTGAGATTGTAAATGGATTGAAGCAGGTTTCCTACCCTGGCCCACGTGGATTCCATTTCTACACCCTTAATTTAGAGAAAGCAGTTGCCTTGACCGTCGAGAAGTGTAACCTAATACCGCCGTTATCCCCTCTCAGCGATTCAGAAACATATATGGACACTGCGGTTTTTATGGCGCAAGGCAAGCAGAACGGTATTTCCCTGTTATCGAAAAGGAGGGCCTCCTCTATGAATTCCCAACCTCATAACCGATTGATCGTTGATCGACCTTCGGACGCCGGGGGTTCCTCCCAAGCATCTACTACCCACGAAACTCCTGCTCTTGGTGCTGGTATGCCGGCCCTTAATCCCCCTCCACGAACAACCACGCTGCAGATATCGGAGGGGGTAGGTGCGCTGGGGCGCGAGGCGACCTGGGATGACTTCCCAAATGGTCGGTGGGGTGACGCGCGATCCCCTGCATTCGGAGAAATCGATGGATATGGCCCCTCCCTACATGTCAATGCTGCCGTGGCACGACGACTCTGGGGATATCCAACAACGAAACAAGACATTAATAACATCTTCCAACGCCATGTGTCGGGCGAGCTTCACCTAGTACCCTGGTCGGAAGGCGGAGCGCAAGATACTGGTGGCCTGAATGCAGAGACCGCCACTATTCGAGACGAGCTTCTTCACCTCATAAATGGACGTGGGTGGTGGACGCTCGCGTCCCAGCCTGCAGTGAATGGGGTGCGCAATGACCATCCGATTTTCGGCTGGGGTCCTCGCGGTGAGGGCTTCGTTTTCCAGAAGGCGTTTGTCGAGTTCTTCTGCCCGGCCCATGACTTCGAATCGATATTGAAACCAATATTTGAAAGCCACAGCCACGATGAGTTTGCGTGGTTCGCAACTAATGCTGCTGGTGACTTCATGTCGTCTTCTCCTGCCACGGATGCCGCCACAGAGGACTTTTCCGGGCCTGTTGATGTCTTCCTAGATTCTAATGTCTCACCGGGTAACACTGGAGTTACTGCTGTCACGTGGGGAGTGTTCAGAGGTAAAGAAATTGTCACCCCGACTATCATAGAAGAAGTTAGTTTTCGTGCATGGGGTGATGAAGCGTTCCGTATCTGGGACGAATGGAGGCGCATATTCCCGCGTGGAAGCCCTACTGAGAGATTGCTAGACCAGCTAAAGAATGATGTCTGGTTGATTTGTTGTGTAGGCCAGAAATACGGTGCTGGCTGCGCTAGTCTAGAAGCTGCGGAGGCAGAAGGGAAGCTATTATGGAAGTTGCTTGGAGGGACGGGTACGGAACCAGATTCTGTTGACAAACATTAAGCGTATATTATATAGCATTTGATGAGAAGCCCAGCTCTTTTATGGGCTGTTCTATCACATGGTACTAGTTATTGTGGGAGCCTCGGCTTCCTAGTACGGACTAGACCTCGTACATGTACAGTGTGTAGGTAGCCCCTGGTAGATAGCAACTAATACAACCAGACATCCAACAGTTGCCTAACTATGCCTTGACAAATGACAAACGAAACCATTGTGATAATTTTGTGAGCATTTTTCTCTCCTATCTTTTCTTTTTGGTTGTTGGCATCCCTATTGCTCACTACAAGGCCTCATGACCACTCTAACTTAAGCATTGCTGTGCCGGTTAGATAGTTACAGTAAACCAACTTTCCATCTCCGTTATTGGTTAATTTGTCTCATTAGGTGGCTTAATAAAGCGAACACGATATCTACAAGGTATGCTACTCAAAAAAAATAAAATAAAGAAAAAAAAAGGAAAAGAAAAAAAAAAGAAAAGCAAAAAGAAATGGTCAAAACTATATACAGCGTAAACAGATTTCATCAAATTTCCCATAAATTTTCTTTCTTTTTTTGGTGGTTGCGGGGGGATTTTTGGCGTAATGACAGGACATTCCATTTAATCCACAGGTGTTCATAAAAAATGCTTGGTGAGGATGAGAAACCAACGAATCCAAACTTGTGTAAATAAATCTATTCGGCTAACTTGTTTCATTACCAGCAATTCAGACAAAAGAAAACCCCGTACCAAACTCGTGCTGAAGCTCATTAAATTATCGAAACTGTTCATATCGTGAAATCATCGAGTTGAAAGAAAAATATATCGTCTAGGACTCGGCGGCTAAAGCCAATCCAGCTCCTCACAAAAGATACCAGTCCATCATGATTCCTGGAGAGTAGTAATGCATGTTGATAAAATTTCTCAAAGAACATATCGGAACATCGGCGCGTGATCGGCCAATTCAGAGGTGTCGACCGGGTCATTAGCATTGGGTATACCATACTTCCTGTCCCGCCGCGCATTGACGATGCGGTGACGAACGTGCAAAATGGTAGGTAGGATGACAGACAGGGATAAAAACGAGAGTACGATGGAATATCCTCGAATAAACCTAGGCCCCTCGTTTGTCGGAAAGCTTTTGCTCACGAGAATGCTCCAGGAATGACCTGCGACAAGTAGCATACTTATTGCAGTTGTTTTCTTTGATTCTGCACCGCAATTGTCCGAAGCCCATTGTACTTGTAGTGGTACACATGGGAAAACCCCTGCCAAAAGAATGAAAATGCCACAGAGGGCAACTTTTCGATTCGATTCCGCCGGATATGTGAACAACAGAGTCGCCCCGATGATAGAAAACATTGCACAACCAATTAGGAACGGTCCACGCATTTTGGTGCGATCAGAAAGAAGGGAGACTATAACCATCATGACCCAGCCAGTCATGTACGGACCGATAGTGAGATATTGGGCCTGCTGAGGTGTAAAACCCAGAGACTTGACAATTGTCGGCAAGAAAACAGTAATCAAAGCAAGAGCCGCATCATGGCCCATCTTGCTAAGTGCACATGCATATATTTTCCAATCTTTGAAGGCTGAAATAACATGTTTCTTCACTAAGACTTTAGGTCCCTCACTTTTCTGGCCGCGGTGCATGCGCATTATAGACACCTTTCGTTCTTCTTCGTTCCTGAGGAATTTGGATGTCTCGGGTCGATCGGGGAGGAAGAGAAGGGCGATGAACGCGAAAACCACAGTTGGGAGCCCTTCTATCAAAAATAGTATTCGCCAGCGTCCGATATTAGTGTTAATCAGAGATATAGCGTAGGATATCAAGCCACTGAAGGCACCGGATAGTGCAGCCATGCCAACTAAAAGTGCGGTCCTAAACGCAACTTCATCGCGCGTGTACCAAATAGTCAAGTAAAATACTATAGTCGGTGCAAAGCCAGCCTATGTGATATCGTCAGCATTGATAAAACAAGTTCTCATATCTCGATCACATATTAGATGCCCTGGACCTACTTCACACAGACCAGTAAAAAAGCGTGCAACTGCAATACCCCAAAATTGATTTGCACCTGCCGCAGCACCGGCAGCAGTGCCCCAACCCAGCGCGCAAACGAAGACGAACTTAGATGGATTGAAGGTTTTCCCGACGAGTGTAAGTGGAATGGCAAACAACACACTAGAATTTACTTGTCAGTAAAATGGAGTAGCATGAGAGAAAGGAATAAATAAAAAACCCACAATCCAAAGTAGAAGACACTCGCAGCCCATCCAAAATGATCGTCATTGCCATTCAGGGCATCATCCTCCAATCCTAGGAGTCTCGCATTTCCCAAATTGCTACGATCAAGGTATGCCTGTCGTCGGACGTTTTGAGACATTTAGATACTGTGAAGCCGTGTAGGATCTGCAAAGATGGGGGGAATATAATAACCTACCAACAGATAGAGGCAAGCCACCTGAGGCATAATAACCCAGTCTTGCCGGCGAACAAGATTTCTGAGCGCACACGATCAATTAACCTTTAGTCCGAATTTGTGTATAGAATGAGAATGGAGAGCCAAGATGTGCCAACCTTTCTACCCTTGCCAACTCAGGTGTGATTTCCAGCTGCTTGGTGGTTTCACGCACTCCATCTTCAAGCTGACCAGAATCAACATTTTTGTTATCAATTATCTTCCTTTTCTCAGTTGACGATTCATGAATTGAGGACGTCACTTTCAAGTGTATGTCTGAGACCAATTGTTATACATTTCAAACAAGATCCCAAGGATGTTGTGAAGAACAGCAGCCTTGGTAAATTATATTTAATAATACATGTGCCCTGTGCAGGCGCACGTTTTTCTGGCCAGTATATTTATTTACTAAATTTGGCACGCCTAAGAGAGCACTGGGCTGTGGCAAGTGGTTCTCAAGTACAAATCCACGTGGCTTAGCCCCGGAAGTTGTAGAATTCGAACATAAATTGGGAGTGACGGCGAAGCCGCTCTTGGAAATTCGGTACGTGCAGACTGTGTGGTTCGACACCGTTTTAAGGGGAAGATCAAGGCCGAGCACTGCTGCAAGGGCGCCCGTTGGCATACGCAAGAAGCAGAACGTTTCTGCGGCTATCCAAACATTGACTCAGGCTAGGTCCAATTAACAGCGCCATGATTGAAATCCAAAGGCCGTAAGGTTTCGTCTGTTCAAGGAACGTTGAATCCGGGACCAGAGAAGGGGTGGAAATGGTCGCCTCTCTGATGAACCACTGGCACCGCCACCATCATCACCATCCGTGACTGTCATGGGCAGTGCTAGAAATCAAATTAGAGAGTACTATAATCCCCAGCTGTCGAAGGCGTCTGTGATGAGAAGAAGCCAGAAGGTTAGAATAAGGTTGAAATAAGCTTCGACGCTAGCAATGCTTGAGTGCGGGACAAATTCGGGGTTAGAAATGGAAAATCAAATTCCCTAATCACAGCAAAAACATAGCTAAGAGTTTAGTTTCTTTTCTATCTTCTTTAAGATCTTGTAAACCCTAGGACATTGGAACTATATTTTTCTTATATAGATGTAAATATGTACTAATCATTGCCAGTCATTTTGAGGAATATCGAGTTAATGGCTCCTGATGATGGGCGCTGCTGATAAGTATAGATGCCGAGCGCAACTGGCAATTTTACAGTCTGTTTGGCCTAGGTTTTGCCTGGGCCCACCTAGGTGAACACGGTTTGAATTTATGTAAGGCGATTCTAACCATGATGGAAGCAGATTTTCTACCCACGTTCAACTCGGTGCCTGGCGCAATCAAATTGTATCTCTTATTGACATGGCAACACCCACTTCCCCCGTATGTTGATATGAGATTCTCATGCCTGCTGCTCTGTACGGGCGATCTCTAGATATGTGAAAAATATAATCAAAAGAATAAGATTTTCTTTTATTAACTATCACTATTATTATCACTTTTAAAATCACCCGAGGCTTGAAATAAAAATGGTGATGGCCGAGGTTTAACCTGGAACCTAACTCTCCGGCTATTAATAGTGCTTTCTTTCCCCAGAGCTACAATCGTTTATTAGTGGCTCAGTGAGCCAAAGCGGAGGAGACAATGTGGCGAGGGAGATATTTCTATTTATTCGCACGACCAACCTTTTTACGGGCAAAGCGTACTAATTCTATTAATACAACTACCACGCCTATCATAGCATAGGGAGGGAGTAAATATCGAATATCAACTGTCGAACGCGAGTAGTACACTACCGCATGCTGAACTATTTTATTGAGAGGCTAGTTTTCTTTCTCCACTGACTTTCATTTTACGCGTCATTTTAGCTGCGGAGGAACTGAAGGGACAGGTGGGGAAAGGTTTTACTCGATTGGTGGGGTGCTGCGGGGCTGGGGTGCCGGGGGGGAGGAAACACGTATCTCATTATCGACTAGAGCAGAGCAGCATGCTTGATAATGTGGAGAAACGGGATGTTATTTAAAGCGAAGAAGATTCGTGATAAATAATTACCCTGCGTACCTAGCTAGGTCTAGATGCAGCTAGAAAGTCGTATTTGCGGCGAAACCATGAGCATCAACATTTGGAGTGACAATCGAGGACCCTGACTGTGTGGGAGCAGTTGTAATCTGGTCCAAACGCCCATACACCTTGGGATTCTTCGGTTTGGCACCTGCTTCCCCTTTAAATTGATATCCACGTAATCTGAGAAATTGTAGTGTCACCAAAGATGGTTAGCTAGGAGCCAATAGTTGCTTTTTAATGAAAATACAATAAATAAATAAAAAATAAAAAATAAAACCAAATCAACAACAAAAACAACATGAAAGAGAAAAGGGAAGGGAGTTAAGCTGGAGTGGGGGAATTAAAAATAAGGAATTAAAAATAACTGTATGCAACATACCTAGGTCCCTGGCCAGATTGCCGTGGTAATTCAGGCTCGTAAGCTCGCTCAAACTTCGCCACGTCTTCGTCAAACGTACCCCTGGCAATACTGTCTCTGATAGCCACATAAAAATTATCGAGGACATGATAATTATGTATTTGCAAAAGCGTCCATGAAAGCATCTCTTTTGCATGAAGCAGATGTCGAATATAGGCTCTGGAGAACTTTTGACATGTATAGCATTTGCAGCTTCGCGAGAGTGGTGACATGTCAGCCGCATGCGTAGCGGGCCACATATCAATGCCCAAAGGCCTCACATCAGTCTCGACATCGCGCGCTAAACTCGGAAAACCGAAATCAAGCGCAATACCCGCGTCTGACGCTTCTCCGACAAACGGTACTGTTGAGAGGTCTATGCCCAATGAAACTTCCTTCAAGATTTCTCGCGGGGTTTTTGTTTCACTTAATGACAGACGCACGAGCGCAGACATTGATTCCGGTATCGCAGAGGTGCTGTGAGTATCGTAAACCGCGAACCCGGCCACATTTTGTCGCATCTCGTCCTCTAGTTCCTCTATGTATAACATCTGCTGCTCCTTATCTAGTGGTAGTAGCGGCGCAAGGAACAAGGACACAAAGTTCCCTTCGTCCTGTTTATCATATAGTCTATCGATTGCATCCCTCGTCCATGCGTGTGTCCTGTCCACCATTCGCTCTCGTCGCTTGACCCCGGGTGGTTTGCTGGACAAATCCGAAAGCCCAACAGCAATGTCTGGTTGTAATTTTTGGATGGCCTCTATATATTGCTCGGTTTCCAATTGACGGTACCCAACTGAACTTAATATCGTCACTGAATTGGAGGAATTTGGAGTGGGACATGGGACAGGCGGGACTCGTCGGGGACCTAATATCAACAATAGATCCTCGTGCTGGCATATAAATTTCCGGAGGGCCGATTCAAATGGCTGCGTGGGGATTTGGTATATCGGCGGAATGGATCTATGTCCTTTCTCCGCAACTAAACTGCTCCAATGAGCAGCGTTGTTAGATCTCGACAGGTATGTGCGGGCGTTGAGAGTTAAGTTAAAAGGGCATGAATCCATCTTACAATCCTCAAAGGCAGCATATAAACTCCCAATTGACATCCGGTCGTACATAATATCATGGGACACATGGGGCAGTACGCCCCGAGAAGTTATAGGAACATGATTCGGAGTTTGTATTGGCTTCCTCCCGGTCAAAGAAAGTCTACCGAGTCGCGGGGCCAGGAGAGTCGGCGTAGAACCCAACAGGCTAAAGCTGAACATCTCATCTGGAGGTTCAGCAAGCGATTCAGGTTGCATAATGCTGCAAAAAAAAAAAAAAAGAAAGAAAGAAAGAAAGAAATAATACTAGTATGTATGGAGAAAACGGATGTTCCTGATTCACAACTCCAGAGGGCTCAAAGTAACTTATTTAAATAGCTTGTCTGAACAGCACATGACCTGGGAGAGCGCCAAGAACATCAACCTCAGTATGGAACCTTGGATTGTAACTTTTAGTAGAGCACCTTTTATTTTGTGCATTGATTCAGGAAAATACGTATTATTTCATTATGGAAGCCCTACGGGGAAGCAATAAAAAGCAGAGGGGGGCTCTCATTGTGCTGGAAGGATTGGACCGCGCCGGCAAATCTACTCAATGCGCATTCTTACAGAAGACCCTCCAAGAAGAGGGGCATGAAGTCAAGTACCGCCGGTTTCCAGGTACTAGCTCAAGTGCCACCAGATGCTCACACAGGCTAGTGCTAATGAACAATTATAGACAGAACTACTGAGATAGGGAAACTGATTAACGGGTATTTGATGCAAAACGCACAATTGGATGATCATTCTATTCACCTTCTGTTCTCTGCCAATAGATGGGAGGCAGCGGCAGAAATACAACGGGATATATCAAATGGCATAACCGTCATCATAGATCGCTACTCCTACTCCGGAGCTGTTTATTCTGCAGCCAAAAATATCCCCGGCTTGTCGTTAGAGTGGGCTTGGCAGCCAGAGATCGGTTTACCGCAACCGGATATATGGCTTTTCTTGAACATATCGCCGGAGGAAGCGGCAAAACGTGGTGGCTATGGAATGGAGAGATATGAAAATGATGCCTTTCAGACCCGAATACGCCAGTTATTTCAGGAGCTTATCGCAAGAGAGGACCCCAACAATATTCACGTCGTCGACGCAGGTCGAGCCGAATCGGAGGTTGCGCTGGACGTTATACGCGCAGCGAGGAGGGCCATTGAAGAAATCAAGGGCAGGGATTCTCTGAAAAGACTTGCTGCATTATCACACCCAGCAAGCAGCCTATCCTGATATTTATCATGTTTATCGCTGAGAGGGCATAGCTTTCTCATGCCATCGATTCTCACTCGATAATCTTCAGCGTTGTTCCAGTCGGATATGTTGATTCTAGGGGTGCTATATAAACCCGAGAAGTTTGTTTTCGCATTGCATTTACGTCGTCTATAAAACTGGATTTCAGCGTGACTGCTTTCTCAGAACCATTGTCTATGTTTGTCCTGATCGCGCTGCCAACACTTCTCCCTAACTTTCCAAAATTGCTCCCGCCCACCGAGGGATGAGAACGAATCTGGATTCCCATTGTTTTGGCGTCCGTGGATGGCATCGAGGCTTTACTTTCGCCTTCTTCCGAGGAAACATGATTCGAAATTTTTCTTTTCCCCACTTGTTCTGTCCTCCGTCTCCGTCCCAATAACCGTTTCACCTCTTCTTGGCCACGAAACCGCAATGTAATTTCCTTCATTAGGGTTGGCCATTCCAACTTCCCCAGACAGGCAGGGCACGTCCCTTCTCTTGGTATTAACTTTCCGTTAAAACCTGCCGCCTCCAAAAAGTGTGCCGACAAACATAAAAGATGAGAAGCGCAGCGGCACAGGCTATGTGAACATATTGCAATCATATCATTCCGCGGATTTAACCTTTGTTTGCACACACCGCAATCGATCACTTCCTCAGATTCAAGTAGAAATTGCGATTTTTCCACATACTCTATGAGAGCATCGTAGCCGGTATCGAGTGTTTCAATTCTTTTTCCAAGAATTTCCCGCCTGTCGGTATCGCCTGCCTCCTTAGAGCTAAAAGCGGTGGTCACCTTGATGCTATTATCTAGTAAATTATCCTTGGACTGAGACCAAACCTGCCACACATCTGCTGAGAAAAACCGCACTTCCAAGGGCCATTCTGAGAAGTACGGCGACCGTAGTAGAATATGTAGATTTTCCAAAATATTCGGCAGCGAGGTACGAGGTTTGCCTGCACGTTTGACCTCCTTTCCCGTTCTGGAAGATCCCCTTGTACCTAATTGTTCGCTCTCGTACCTTTCAACCTCAGCATGGCGGGATTCTTTTGTGTGTTGCCACGCCCATCTAGAGCCGTTAACCGAGATAGAACCGACAACAAAAGGGGAAAGGAAAAGGAAACGGGCCTACGTACTCAAACTGCAACGCGCCGGCTCTATTCATAAACCCACTCACAATAGCCACCATCTCCCATGGCCTTAATTTCTCGCTTGATGTCTTTCTTGCGCCGCCGGTTCTGTCTCCATTATGTTGGGCCAAACGCCGACTTGGTTCTGGAGTCGAACCAATATAGAGACTAGCGTGTCGGACGGTTGAACGGAGAAGGTAGCAACAGTAGAAAGCAGGAAATTGGGTTTATGGACTGCGGGATATTGTCCATCATGGCCCAGGGATGGGGGGGGTGATCGTTGAACCCTTTTGTGTTGAATGGCGATCAAGGAGTTTTAATAAATGATAAACCACTGTGACTATTCAATTTCCGAGGAATCCGAGACAGTGAGGTGGCTCCTCATCACGGGCTCAACGATTAAATGATTCTGATTTTTGATCTCGCAGTTGAGATATCTATTGGTATGCGGGTTGGTATTCCAGCAGCCTCCACACTTTCGGCGCGGTTATTTGAAGTTTTATTTCGCAAGGACGCTGTACCCTGATTCATAAAAGGTTCATGAAAATCTGAGAACACATAAATATAGCATACTATCCAATCCGTTGAGTGCCGCGCAGGGTGTGCAGAAAACGGGCACCCATCACCCATAGCAACACCAGGGGTAAACAGTGGCCGCTTAGCGGCTATTTTGGCGTCTAGCGCCAACCCCATCCATCGGAGGTTTTGCGAAAAATTCGAACCCCGTTCAACCAACCCGGCCTGTACAGAATACAGTACTAGTAATATTCTCGTCCTCCTTCCTCGAGTCATCCGATATACTTGTTCAATCTAGCTCACCCTGCCATATATATGCGATCTACCTACTGCGGCAAGCTTTATGCTAACTTTACTTTCACCCACACACTTTGTAGCACCCGGCCTCACCACTCTATAGAGTCCTAGCACTCTTCACTGTTAGTACACTGAATCCATGATTAAAACATCTCCGAGAAGAACTTAAATTTCCTACTCATTTGAAAAACGAACTACGCCTCAGCTCGCTTGGTTCCACACAGATTCATCCGAAAACTGCTCATCCTGTTACCGTTTATCAACTGTACATTTCACTCCAAAAAATCCTCTCTCCGTGAGACCATCCTTGTTTGGATGTTTTTATTATTGCTATTTTATTTCAGAGTCTATAAAGAATTCAGTGCTGAAGTCGATTGAAATCTATATTTATCCACTCCGCAAGCAAAGGACAATGGTGTGTTGCTCAGGTCATGGGTATACTATTCAGCTTTCCATCCAGTATTGATTTGATCTATGGCAGGGTTCTATATAGGTGGTGGAGTTATGAGGCTCCTATTTCTATCTGTTTTCTAGTTGCTTACCGCCATTCAATTTCATGATAAAACATCTTGCTGAATTTATGGAGAGAAAGGCAGAAACATCCCGTTGATTGTAGTGATTTAGAGAGTGTAATGTCATTCTCCAGAGCAGAATGTGCCGGGGACCCGATTCCTGGATGAAATTGGTTTAATTTGCTGACAGGTGAACGTTTCAATCTTGCAGCCAGCGTTCCCGAGGCACTCCACCTCACAGCACTGCCGTTTGAGCTTAAGGAGAAAAGAATCTGGGATTGCTTTTACTTTCATTTGAATGATTGTCAAGGCGATTGTAATGACCCACCGCGTCTATCTCACTTATGCATAAGTCTTGAAGTGGACTAATCTGTCGAGGTGATAAAATCGATTGTGCGGTGTTGACAAAGCTATAGGGCGGCAATGTGCTCTTGATTTGTCAATTTTTATCAGCTCATCCACCTTAAAATTGCCACATGGGCCGTTCGAATAGCGCCAGGGCTCCACGGCGACCAGGGCGGTAAGTATATGTGCTTGGAATCCGCACCAACGCGAACTATGAGAGCTAGCTCTGCTCTTCCATGGAGGGTCTATTGTTCAGCTTGAGGTATATAATGGCCTTAAGTCAAATGTCATGGGACAATTGCCATATATCATGCCTCACTCATCTCGCACTCATGATGCTTTCTGAAATGAACATCGATATTTTGTGCCCAATCTGGTGACGAAGTTTGTGTCCCGATTTAAACCATCTGGGAAACGCTGTTGATCTCTTTGCCAGGGGGACCGCTACCGGCCAAGATTGATGTCTGGTTGTTGAAGATATAATGTCCTTAAACAATATTATTGTTACAGAAGACATACAACATAGCTAGTACTGCATAAGTTGTAGACATCTTCTGTTGAATAACCAGCGCAAATATTATCGTGAATTTCGTTAACTAAATAGGTCAGAGGCAGGTACTTGTATGATTGGCTAGATAGCTGAGAGAAGTTACGAACCCTGATCTCTGAGGAAAAGAATCCCGATTAAGTCGTCCATCTTATCCATGGAATGGATCTTCAAGGTTTGGCCAATCACAAACCTGGAGTTCAGCGCAATACCAAGTATTTATATAACTTTAACATAACGCACAAACTGTAACTTCCAAGCCTTGCGTATCCCTCGGAGAGATACTGGTGAAATCTAGAAATTATTGATATTTTCGAAAGTTGTAGAATTCCGCTCAATCATCTTGCTGAAATATGAGGCCAAATATAGGGATGCTCCTTGAGTCTCGGCAGCATTGCCAACTCCGGACGCTACCAAAGATTTCCTTTTTTTTTTCTTTTCTTTTTTCTTGGAATTTCTTGGAATTTCTTTTTTGGTCTCGACTTTACCACAATAATTTAATCTATTCTAGAGGGTAAGCGCGTAAGTATGGGTATATTATATTACACCATAGTGGTTCGTCCATACTTGCCCAAATCTAGTAGCCACTCTATGGTAACAAGAGCAGAAGAGACTATTGTTGGTTATCGTTTGGCTCACAGCCAGCCAACAAGCATCGAATTGCCAGCTGGGGTATTGAAAGCCCTGTTTAAATGACGTCTCAAGAGTCTTCAAGGCCGGAGTACCCCGTACCGTTGTTCTCTTTCCATAAGTTCAGGAAATTGGCGAGCGCCAAGGACTCTAAGCATTTCCCACGAGCATACGAAGTAGTTGATCAATGTTGTCGAAAACGCTAATCGGGATGATACGAACGTTGGATTTTCTTGCTTTTTTGCGGGGGGTTTGTCGGGGTGTTTCATTTACCATCACGTATTACTATATACGTACCATATTTTACTTTTAGCTTACGCTTATCTAATAAATAATACCATGTTAATCAGCTAGTTAGTTAACTAGTTAACAAAATTAACTAGTTAGTTAAGGAGATTCGGCTAGCTTGTTTTTCCTTAAAGCGACACTGTTTGACAGCGCATTTACGTCCGTTTGCAGGATGGACGGATGGTGATGTAACAAAATACTTACTTCAACTTTTATTGTCACAGATTATTCCTGTCATCTCGATGCTTGGATGTATTGACCAGTCGTATCTAGGCTAACTATGGCACTCTGTCTACACTGTCACGAGAAGTAATCTACTGGGTCTGATGTCCATTTTTACATTTCGATGAATACAGGAAATCTCAATACCAGACGTCAGACAATTCCAACCCTCATGATAAGCCTTGACACCTCACCTTGAATGCCGGGCTGTACGGAGTAGAGTTCCTAGAGTTAGGCGCAAATCTTTTGGCGGTTTGCATATAAATTCCTAGTGTGTTATCAGTAAAGCGCGGTAGAGTATGAATACGGGAAGTAATCGGTACGTCGGTAAATTTTCCTTTGGTGCCAATACTCGTCCGTACCAAGTAAAATGCACGGACGTATCATGTTACCGTATCGCAGCAGCATAATCCTATTCCGCCTCAAATCTCCTTCCATCCTTTCTATCTCTTGATTCTCCCCTACTCGCAGCTGCAGCACCCACTTTCGCGCTCTCCACCACCCGGTCTCCGTCCGGCCTTTGCCGTTTCTCCGCCTCCGAGTACCTGTCTTCTTATCATTACTATTATCCACCCATCATTTAATTAATCCCTTCTGTTGACGTGTATCGGACTCCACCATTCACTCGTGGATCCCCCTAGCCCTCGGCCTCTTTTTCGCCAGCTACCCTCCCCTCCAATGCGCTATTCGCATCGCGATCGGTGTTTTCCCAAAACCACCTGATCAAATTCGCCCATCCCCTGTACTTCCGCACCGCAGCGTGGAGACATGGTGGTCCCACCTTCAACGGGAGCAACAACTGCCCAGCAGCAGTCCCAGCAATCAGCCATCCGCTCCCGCGTCTGCGAACGTCGAACCACTTCGACCAATCTTACAATGCCAATGTTCCTTTGAGTGCTCGAATGGCTGCGCCGCTTGACCTCTCCACGGTCGAGCGACGTGGCCACTCTACCGCGAGTAGAGA